TTCTTTGCCCGAGTGGGATGCCCAGCTCCCAACTCATTTGAAACCCTTGTGCTGTAAAACGTTTATGCTTTTCTCAGTATTTATAATCGTAGAGATTTATAAACAAATGGTAGAAGATATTCAACAAACTAACCTTGCTGCAGCACTAACGCCATAAGTAATCATGTAGGCAATGGCTTCTGTATTCACGCTTATCACAAAAAAAAAAATCACCATGTCAATCTTCAAATTATTAAAATAAAGGGAATAACCAACCAATACACTGTCTAACATGGACTCTTCAATTTACCCTAATTTATTTGTCTTACCTTTTTTTTTTTTGAACAATTTATTATTCATATGGGTATTGACACTTGTATTCCAAAAATTAATCTATAAAACATTTGTCCAAAACATGATGTACCCGTGTCTGATACCCTATCCTAAGTCCATGAAACATAGTAGAGTCAATACATATTTGAAAACTATAGTGCCAAGCTTACCACTTTGCAATCAATGAAGTAGTGACTTCTGAATTAGGCATCAGGCCTGCTAACAACACAAGAAGCTCGAACAACCAGTACTCCAAACTGGCAAAAAGAGTAGCAAGGTTTCAAGTTTATAAGAATCCTTCTGCCAGGATGTTATTTTGCTACTCATGTTATCAGAAATGATACAGTGAGAGAAAAAATTTGATTACATTTTCGATAACCCACCAAACCATTGCTGCAGAAGGGAGGTCTAATTTCAGGTTTGTGAGAGTGTACCAAAATGATAAACGACCATCCTTGCCATGTTCGCTCAAATTTCTTGCAAATGAACGCATAATGGAGCTAGCAAAAGAAGTGAAATCCATAGTGAAAGTGAAGCTGCTAATGGAGCTCCTCTGAAACCAAGATCTGTCCGATTGACCAAAGAGTAAACAATTCCGAAATGAATGCCCAATGGGAGGACCGAGAACCAGACCAGGGGCATTACAACGCTTTGTGTTTGAGGAAATCTGAAAATGTTTTGCACGAAGCTGTATGCAAATAAACCTGGAATGAGATACCTAATGTACGAGGCTGCAGTTTTTGAAATTTGAGCATCTCATCGGAGCAAGACAAGTATCGGCTCGGTGTAGAACCATAAGATTGATTTGAAAACAGAGGACAGGAAAGAATTCATGCAGGATGCTTGGAGGTAAATTCCCAACATTCTGTATATTTTTGCACCAAATCGTTGACCACAAAGGGTCTCTAGTGCTCCACTTAATCCTGTCTAAAACAAGAACAGGGGAAAGATCAAAACGTCAAACAGTAAATGCTAGACTAAAAATTGACAAACAAATTAAACCCTTGGTCCAGAAAGGAAGGATTGTTGAATGTAGAAATTAAGCTGCAAAAAATGGAAAGAGTAACAAAGGACAAAAGGCCAAAAGATTAAGGTTCAACGGACAATTTACCCGAAGTGGTTCACTTTAGTGATCCTACTATGATTTAATCTAACTGTTCCCTTTAGTTACTATTGCAATTTGTGCAATCAATCAAAATTATTAGTAACAGAGTTAGCTTGCATTTGTCAACTTTTGACGGCCGCACAGAGCTATGGCATCGAATTTTAACAGATAAAACAATTATGCCATAGAATTCTACCGTCCACCGATAGCCTTTAAGCCAAGAGAGAAAAAAGAAGAGATGTGCTACAAGAGAGGGAGAGTAACAGAAAATTAATTTATGATACTCTCCTTAGCTATACAAGAAGACAACCACACATTGTTCAGTCGTTGGCAAAGGTTGGTTGGGAAGTTCTCTCGCTTTGTCCGTTTGGGTTGAAGCAGCTAATTTGAAAATGTTTGCAAGCTCGGTTTGTGTGGGTCAGCCAATCCTAAATTAAAGAAACAAACATATAATCGTTTATTTAAATATGAAATGAATACTAACCATGAAAGCTAAACCGGTGACTGTGGCCCAAGAATTAGCAAGTATTGCACCAGCAAGCTCAAGCTCCCCAACGTGTCCAGCAAACATGACAGACACCGTAGTTATGGAAAAACAGGAAACATTAGTAAGAATCATTGGAAGTGAGAAGAGAACTTGATTCTTGGCCTCTTCCAAGTCCAATACTTTCTTCCACCACATTCTTTGATCGTGCTTATTTGCTTCTGACAACGAAGCAGCTGTATCTAAACTTGTGTTTGATGATGACATATCCTTCTTTGGTAGCTCCCAATCAAAATATCTTAAAAAAAAAAACAATTTGATCTTATCAATGAAGAAGCAAATTGTAATCACAATTCTGAAATTAATGATGCACGGGAATGAATTAAAACTGCTATCCAACAGATTAAGGACACTCGCCAGGAAGGGGGTAACACTAGGAGCAGCAAAGGACTTCAATGTTTAGGGTGGGAGGAAGTTACTGTCGCCTGGCAGAACCTTTCCATACAATCTTTATTCCAGGCTCGTTTTAAATACTAAGCTGCTGATCAGTATGTTTCAACAATGTTGCCAGTACAGGCTTTGGTTTCTGTTTGATGATCTTCTTTAAACGCTACGAGTCTATTAGGGGGAACTCTTTTGGCTTAGCTGCCAATCGCCTTTTGAGCAGCCTTTTGACGTAAATGTATAGCTCTTTTACACCGAATCTAGCATAAGAAGTCTTTTATCATCAAAATTCAAGATTTTTATGACATACTAACTTTTATCTATTACTAAAATTCACTTTTCAAAAACAAATCAAATTAAAAATAAAAAACAATCCAACAAATGAAATTAATTTTATATGAAATACATGGAAGAGAAATTAAAAAGTATTAGTAACATAAGTATCATAAAAATCATAAGTGATATTTTCACTAATTACAATATAAATATTCAAACTGTTAATAAAAGAAAAGAAAAGAAGACTCAACTGATAGTAAAAAAAAATGAAAATGAAAGAAAGGAGCAATGAGGGGCCCGTTGGGCAGTTAGCTAAGGGGCTTTAGGGTTCAGGGGGGTAGACTTTGCGTTGACCGCCGACCAACCGAGCCTCCCCTCACTGCGTTTCCTTCTTTTCTTAAGTTCTCCTTCAATTCTTTCTCCCACATAGTTAATCACGCTCTCTCCCCTTGTAATTAACACCGAGCACAATTCATTGTCCCTTGTATGTTTCTTTTCCTTTCTTCAAGCACACGTGGTCCTTGCATGTTTCTTTTCCTTTCTTCAAGGGCATGTGGTGCTTGCATGCAATTTATTGCATATTTTCTTTCCCTCTCAATGCTAAACATCCAGTTCCTTTCGTGTTTTCTTTTCTTCTCAATGCAATACGTGGTGTTCCTTTCATGAACGTGGAGTTCCATAGTTTTCTTCTCAAAACCTCACATTCTCATAGGTTAAGGCACCATCCAACTTTGTTCTGCCGCGGGTTGCTACTTCACGGCATATTACCATATAATTCTTCACACCTAGAAGCCAAACTCATTTCTTAGGCTCGGGTTACTTGGAAAAAGGAAAACCATAAGAAAAGAATTAGG